GTCAAATGGAAAATGTTGTCAGATTGTTGAGCAACAATGGAGCTTACAAGGTGATTCACAAGCATGATGATACGAAGAAATGTTGATCGAAGAACTCAAAATTAAAGAATTAGAAAAAACTCAAATACTTTTTCAGAATAAAAGTGGTTCAATCGAAACAAAAGATCTTTCTCTCTCAACAAAAATATATTATGAATTTGTTGAAAGAGACCAGAATGATAGAGAGTGCAAGCCTGTAAAATTCTAACAAAACCACGACAAGAATTGGACTTTAATGAAAAAGCTGATGCAAATATGGGAAAATATCAAATGTTATTGGGAAAATTGATCTACTTATCTCACACGTGTCCTGACATCTCATTCGAGTAAATTGATTTAGTCAATTCATGCATAAATGTAATGAGTCACATCTTCAAGCCACTAATAGAATTCTCAGACATCTCAAATTAGGCTGAGGAAAAGCAATTTTATACAAAAGACATGATATCCTACAATTTAAAGGATGCACAAATGCAAATTATGTTGGATCATCGGTGGATAGAAGGTCTATGTTACACACATACACCAACCAGTTCACCGTGGACAAGCTTGAAGCGTTATCACTGACCCACAGGCAGGCCAGTCTTGGCGACGGGAAGAATTGGAGCTTATAGGGAGAGACACAGAAGGAAAGGAAAGGGTGAGGTCCACCAAGGTTATAATTACCTATGCAAGGAGGAGAAATGAAAAAGAGGGAAGGTTAGAAAGGAAAGTTTTTGAAATGCTTTAAGGGGATTCTATTAAGGGGAGAAACTAGGGTTTGCCTTCTTTATGCATTATTTTGTTGGTTGTTGTGTTTTTCTCTCTTGGGTGGTGTTTCTAGCGATGTCTAAGATGTGAGAGAGTCGATTTACCTCTCGAAAGTATATCATCTTTTGCATCTTGCTTGTTTGCAGTTATTTTTCGTAATGGTAGCACTTATTTGACTTATTTCCATCTATCTATCATTGTTTTGTTGTCGTTGCTTGTTGATTTTGGTGTCGAGACGTATCAATCTACCTCAGGGTATTGTATATTCTTAGGAAAAAATCTCATAACTTGAAGCAAGAAACAACCTGTGAATCCAAGATTAAGTGTTGAAGTCGAGTTTAGAGTCATTACTCAAAATTTATATGAGCTTCTATGAGTTAAAATTATATTAGAGGATTGAAAAATAGGTGAAAAGAGCTTATGATAATATATTGTCCATCTTGTGCGTAATTATGTAAGACATAATTTTACCAAGCATGTTGAAATTGATACACTTATAAAAGAAAAATTGAAAAATAGTCTAATTTGTACTTCATATGTACCTACAGAAAATCAACTAGCTGACATATTCATAAAAAAACATTGTAATCTAATATCATAAACAAACCTGGAAGAGAAACCACTACAGTCCAGTTTTAAGGGGGGTGTTGAATTTACGCTCCAATCATAACAAAAAAACCTCAGACATGAATCAAGGCTTTGTATTCTTGAATCATATCCTTATGACTCTTAGATAACAAAGAACTTAAGCACAGATTGATGCTCTATACCATTACATTTGTCCTTCAATGACCCTCGGGGGTTTTAACCAGGTGCTTTCCTATAGGATCGTTGACCTCTAATTCTTTTTCCATTATTTTTTGATTTATTATTATTTTATAATGTCTTTGGGAGATGTATATATACCTCCCATCTTGTAGAAAAAATGTGAATAAGATTCTTGAGAGTTTTCCCCCATTATTTGTTTTCTACAAAACACATCCCACTTTTAGGGTAAAAAGATCTTGAAAAAAACTAAAACAAAAATATTAAAAATCGATCCTTTAAGTTCAATCTCTTAGATTAATGATAAAAACTCAAATAAAACTAAATGAAAAAGAAGAATAAGAGAGCCAAAGACTTTAGTCACAAGATGCACAAGCTTATTTGATTCAACGATATTCATCTGCGTCTATGGCTGCACATAAATAACATATTTCAATAAATTTTAAAAAACCAATAAATAAATTTCCAATGGATACGAAGATAAATATAAAGAAAAAAATTGAGATGCCGCTCTTTCAATTTCAAATATTGAGAGAGAACACTACTAATTGTTGCAAAAATAAGGGTCAAATACAGAGAAAACCTAAAATTTTTCAAACGTGAGAGATCTGGCTTTTTAAGAAAACCTAAAATTAAGAGCTAAAGATGAGCCTAGATTGACAAGACATGTTACTATATTTATTGCATCAACCAAATATATTTTTTTTCAGGACTACATGTAGACACTTGCTTCAAGCCCTTAATTTTAAAATCTTATTCATTCTGTTAGTGATTCCATTCTACTGAAATTTTCTTTATAATTGCTCTCTACATAAAATTGCATTAGAAACACAATAATTTTTAAATTCACGCTATTTTACTTCCCATCATTATCAAATCGTAAGCATTTAATCTTTTACATTAGCCTCACTTTCAATTAATCTTTCAATCTTACAAAATTATTTAGCAAATCAAATTTCTTCTAATAAAATAGATGCATCTTTCGGATGCAGTCATCTATGAGCATGACATAATATATCAAATTACCTACAGATGAAATGGAAGATGGCCCCCAAAAATTTGGGCATTAATTCTAAACTTTTGATTTCAAGAACCCTTTCAATTTTTGAGAAATTGACTCTTCTGTTTTGCTTAAAATACAATCTACAGAAAAATCAGAACTAAATAAATTTTAAATAAGAAAATTTATCTTGAAAATGAAAGAAGTTTAGGAACTTCTCAATCATGTGGTCTAATCTTTATGGCAAAATATTAATCTTCTTAGTGGAAAACGTTGGATCTCCTGTTTTTTCAATATTTGTGGCAGTGTATAGTGCATCAGTCTTGTTTCTTGTCTTCTTTGGCTATCCTATAAATGTCACTGAATGTGAAATTGCATCTTTCTATTGAAATTTGTCTCATAGAAATCAAATTTCTCCATAGGCTAAGCATGTGTCTAACTTTAAACAACTTTTATGTGATTCCAGCTATGATATGAAGTATCAAATCATTAATGCCTACACTATCTAAGAACTCATCTTCAGCAAGAAATATTTTACCATAGCTACTTGTAGAATAATGTTGTTAATTTTTTAAGAAAAGAAGCTTAAAATGATGCACCAGAGTCTAATATCCATATGTCCATTGGATTATAGCATCAAAGATCAATGCATCTTGAACTTCATTCGTGGCAACATTCACAATTTTTGACTTCCTATTTTTACCCTTCTTTTACTTGCTGCAATTTTTCATCATATGTTGTGACCTTTTATATTGTCAACACCCACCGAGATGACCTCAAGGTTTAATTCTATTTTGATGTATATGTTGGCTCTTATTTTATGATTTAGATTTACCTTTGTCTTGATATTTTTCTTTTAATTTGAGACCTGCTCTTATTATCAATATTCAAAACAAAGAAAAAAAAAAGAGTTCTCCAGTCTCAAGCCATCATATATCTTCACTAAGAATAAGGTCCCTGCTATCATTCAACTTCAATTTGCTTGATCAAAAAGCGACATAATTAAAATTAAGAAATGAATTTAATCAAAACTAACATGTGATTGAATTAAACTTATTGGTATGCTAAAGAATAAAGGCTCCTTCAAACTTCTAAAGGACATAAAATTTGCACATAAAACATATCTAATTCTCATAATTATCTAATAATGCCTTTATCATGCCTCTGATATTTTCATTAAGAAGGTTGGAGGCAGCATTCCTAATATGAATAAGTGAATAACTCCCAATAACATGAATAAGTCTAACCCAATATTTGATCAAAAATGAAAGGCTTTGATACCTTCAAAATTTGACAAAACTTTTGATATAGATAGTCTTCTATTTACACCTTCCAATAGTCAAAATTGTACCATCAAATATCAAATATTGAGAGAAGACACAATCACATATTATCAAAACAAAGGCTAAATAAAGAGAAAGAATTTGTTATTGTTATTACTGCTGTCTTCGCTTCTCAACTATATAAGCTTCTTTCTTTCTTCTTTACTCTACTAAGAAAGCTTCTTCCCTCTCTGTCCGTCTTCTTTCTAGTTGCTTTTATTCATAGGATACTCTAATGCATTGGATGCGTCAACTTATGTAATGTTTGAAGATTAGATAGTAAGTTTGAATTTATTAGGTAGATGGCATTAGGTACTACAATATAAATCCTAAAAAAATGATAGATAATGATAACAGGTAGACATTTTTTATGAGTTTAATAAAGATAATTTTTTCTCCATAAATTAATACAATTAAGTTCCACACTATTTAAAACACCAACTTATAAAAGAAAAATATGATGTCTTTCATCAACTCCTACATCTCCATAAAATAGTAAAACTGTAAAAATGTTACTTTAAGTTCAAGACAGGAGCAGAGATTTAGAAGCCTTCCTCCAAAATACTCATGTTTTTACACTAGCATAGAAAGTTAAGCTAAACTCAAAAAGACAATTATTAAAAACCCACAAAGTCCATATATGCCTAACAAAGAATTAAAAAATAAATAAATAAACTATTTATAAGAAAAAAAATGTCAAATAAAAAAGGGGAATTTATATGCATACCACACAATTCCAATGTACTTACATATATAACACTTAAAACTATACTTTTACATTTTTACCGTCCAAATCTTTTATATAACATAAAAAAAAGACCATTTTAACTTTTAAAAAAAGTGAAATACACTTTTCACACAGGGATGAGGTGGATTGCATGTAAAAATTGAAGTTTTGTTATTAGATATGTAAACACATAAGAACCGAGTGGTATGTATATAAATCTTCCAACAAAAACAGAGAGAAATGGAGAGTTCAGTTTATGATTTCTCTACGCCACTATGAAAAAAAATATATATATCAACATTCAACCCACAACTTCATCAATATCAATACAATTTCGTCTAAAAATCAGAATCAGATTAAACGGGCAGAAACAAAACATTCAGAATAACTTTAATACCTTGATTCAGGGTCATGATTCCATCTCCAATATTGAGGAGTATCCCCCCAAATAATCAAAAGCTCTCTCGCCGGCAAGATGAAGCACTTGACCCCGGTCTCTTTATCAACAAAAAAACCCTGCCAACAAAAAGCATCAGCAAGACCAAAAACTTAAAATTAAAAACAAAGCAACCAAACTCACCATAAATTAAGAAAAAAAGAATAATCAACAGGAACAAACCATCTTCCCGCCATCGATGAGTATTGGATCGCAGAGGCGGAAATAGAGATGCTTCATCGATGCGAATTCCACCCGATCGACAGCTCGTGCGAGGATCTCAGCGTAATCGGACGGAAGAAAGCTTCTCCAAACGTTGTCGGACGCTGATGCGGAGCGAAACGCCGCCGATACCGCCTCCGATCGGCATGCATCTCGAGGAGAAGTTAGTAATATAGCGTGCGACAAGCACTCTTCCGGCAGCCTCTGAATTTCGCTCCCGACGACGTAACCTCCTTCTTCAACATCCATCTCTCTCTCCCTCTCACTTCTTGCTCTTTCCGCCTGTATGTATATATGCAGGGGAACGTGGTGAATGCGGGAAAAGCTTCCTTCCCTTAGGGCGATCAACGGAACCGACTTAACAATGTCGAACCGACCTAAATGTGGACATTTTGAGAAAAAGAGCCTCACGTATTTGTATTTACAGAACTAACGTCAACATTTTAGTTTTTATAATTTTAGTACTTATATTTATATAAATATATAGAAATAATGTGGTATGTATGTAAATCTAAAGATTTTATAAAGAATGATTAGACTAATTTTATTATATAATATTAAGTCAAACTTCTTTATTTATTTGGGGCATTTTGTTACGTAACACGCAATTCTTGTATATTTGTATATCAGGTGAATCCAGATTTATTCTATGAGACATGCTCAAGAAATAAAGTGGTAGGAACCAGAAATGAGAAGGAGAGCGAGAAAGGAATGAGTGTACAACGGTTTGCCCCACTAGGGAAAAATGAAGTATTCTCAGGCTCTTGTAGCCCATTTTATATATCGAACGTGGTCAAGAGAGAAGAGTCAAAGTCTCTAATATCTGATATGACTCTCCTATTTATAAAAGATTGAGGGCCAAAAAGGTAAAATTATAGGTTTTACCCCTGCTCTAGAGGGGTTGTATAGGTAATTTGGTATGCTTGTGTGCATGCACCTTCTATTTGTCAAGCTCTTGGATCGATCGACCGAGCTTTTTTTTATCGACTTTCGTTTGAGCATCGATTGGTTCTTGAATGGGAAGTCGGTCGGTTATTGAGTGTGATGGTCGATTGACTTTTGAGCGGTTGGCTGACTTGCATGATTATTGTTACAGGTACTTTTTTAGGGAGCTTTTGAGAGAGTTTTGTGTTGATACTTGTTATATCATTGGAGATGCTAGACCTTTGTTCGATTGTTTCCTTCGGAGTGATCGATGTGGATGCTTGTCTTATGTTGGTCTGGGTGGCTCTTATGTCGACTGAACTTGCCTTTGTCAGCCGGTAACATTTTCGTCGACTAGATTGGTTATCAGTTCGTTCAATTCGTGAGGTCTTCTGGTTTTTTCTCAGCGAGATTCTTGTCACATCTCCTTTGATTTTGGGCTGTTAAATTATCTCGAGATTTGTGCTGACACCTATTTTTATTTATAATATCTAATACATAAACTTTGACTTTTACAAATCTTTCATATCACAAAAAAATATCATTATTTAATTTTGTAAATAATAAAATAAACTTTTTATATAAGTAAGGTGGCATAAAAGTAAAAATTCAACTTTAGAACATTTGGTGTCAGATATGTAAACAATGGAATTGAGTGGTATGTATGTTGATGCGTGCTAGAAAATTCATGGTTGTAAATTAATAGATTATAGTTTTAATATTGCAAGAGAGTTCAACACACATTCTGATGAAAAAATAATACGTAAAGTCACAATAAGTTTTTACGTGGAAAACTCAGAAAGGGAAAAAACTACAGGGTCAAGCCCAGTTGTAAAAATCCACAACAAGTTGACGATAACAGAGACGTCTTGTCTCACAGGCGGGAAGATGTTACAAAATCTTTCGAATTACAACGTCGATTGACAAACATTCTCATTGTAAAGAACATGCGGAGATCGATAGAGATTGGTGGCGACCTGCAGGTGGTGGTGGACAGTGTTCGGCGATTGTTGACGGCGGTAGAAGTGATGTTGGATTTCAGGTCATTCTCAAAGCTTCAAGCTCTTCCCCAAGCCTCAAACTCCCTCATCCGGGTGGGTGGGGCTCTATATATAGTGTTTTGGGTGCAATTAAAACAAGAATATGAAACACTTTGATCGGACGGTCCAGAGATATTCCTTTGATCAGACAATGTTTGATGGCTATTTGAGAGCCTTAACGATGTCTAAATTTAGAAATCTTGGATTCGTTGCATTTGTCTTGTCGAGAAGCTCGATTCAAATATGAGCTCAGCAGATTTCGTATTTGTTTGATGTTCCAAATATACTTGGAAAACTTCTAAAAGTGATTTAATGGCTTGATCGGGGCTTAATTAAACTCATATTGAATTAATTTTGGTATCATTGGGTCACTCTCGTGGAGCCGGTCAGTTAAGTTTAATGAAATCGGAGTTCTTGATGACTCTTAATCAAATTTTGAATATTTCTTGCTCCAAAAATTCTCTTGAGATCCATGTGATGCCTCGAGATTCACACTGAATGATGGAAATTTGTTGATGTCGTATCAGTTGCCCCTATTTTCGTGTGAGATCAACTTCACAATTCAAAAATTATGGAATCTAAAACACTTTAATTTTTATGGTATTTCATATAATATATATATATATATATATAAATTTAATACATATGCATATATTGTAAGTGTATACAAAGAATATGGTAGCATAAATCTAAAAGAAAATGAATGACTTGGGAGGAAGGAATGACCGATCGGGCACACTTAATGACGGACGATAGATTGAATACTAGAAAAGAAGATACCTGGATCGAGGTACCAAAAGAAAATGCCAAGGGATTTCCTATAGGATGATGATCGGCTCTCAAGTCGATCGACCGATTACTCAACCTCAGATGAAGTGCCAATGGACTCAAGGCGGGGGAAAGCAGTCAGCGAACTTCTTACTGATTGAATCAATCCGTCATTCTTATTTTATTTAAATACCTTTGTTATTACCAAAAGGTCCCTCTAAAGGCTAATGATGGGGGGAACTAACCTATGAATTTGTAAAACTAAATTTTGTTCCTATAAATAAGGGGTCCATACAATGAATAAAGGATGACACGTTCTTACCATTCTACACTATACTCTCTTTTGTTTTCTCTACAAGATGATATATACCTTGGGTGTGTTTCATAGACAATTTTGAATTCAACATTCTTTAAGGTGTTGTGAGTGTGGAAACATGTCATCAACAAGAAGAGGAGCTCGTCAACAACAATAAGGAGAATCCAGTCCGAGCGCGGTAGAAGCGTCATGCACTAAGGAGTTTGTGCAAGAAAATTTCCATCAAGGTTTGCAAGACTTGAGGACCCAAATCACCAACCATATGTCAAGATAGTTCGTAGAGCTGCTCAGAGCAGTCGCCGCCCTGGCAGTGGTTTCGGTTCTAGGAGAAGACCAGCTTGATAAGGAGTATTTAACCCCTCTAAAGGGAAACCATCAGCAAACAACGGGAGAAGAATAATCCACCTATAAGAGAAAATCAATTGTGGGTTATATCAGGATAGCATTGGATCCACCTACGAGAAGAGAAATCGACGGGTGTGAACCGAGGTGCAGCGACAACCGAAGAATGTCTTATCGTTGCAGGTATTGTGAGTTGAACCTCGAAAAATTTTAAAACGCTCAACCTAGAGCAACGTAAAGGGTGACCACCTCGCGTCATTTGAATCTTCCATTTGTCTGCTAAAAATCTCTGACACTCTCAAATGTAAGTTTTTGTTAGCCTCATTAAGATGATTTCTATCTCTAAGACCCAAAAAGGGCGCCCAGTCTCTATGGCAACTAAAACAAAGAGATTATGAGAGCTTGTGATCTATTATTACACGGTTACGCAGGGAAACATTGGATGTGTAAGAATTGAAGCCCGACATGGCACTGGCTGCACTCACACAGGAGGTAAGGTAGGAGAGATTTCGCTTGTGATCTCAACCTCGCAGAACCATAGAGCTTGGTCGAGTTGTTAGAGATGGCCAACAAGTATATTGTTGCCAATAAGAATGCCTCAAAGCCTAGCAAACACAGACACCAGAAGAATCCACCTGGACCTTGCACACGGATGGAGCCTCCAGCCGATCGAGTGCAGGACTGGGAGATTTTCTGTGCAGTCGAACAGGGGAGAATATCTATCACTCAATCTAGATAAACTATCCCCTAACTAATAACTAGGAGGAATATAAAGCTTTGATCGTGTGTCTTCACTTTGCCTCAGAGATGGGGATCTTCTACATAACAGTGAAAGCTGATTCACAGCTTATGGTGAACCAAATCAATGGAGAGTTCAAAATAAGGGATGATACGATGGCAAGGAACCTCGAAAAAGTGAAGGCGTTGATCGTTCAATTCGCTAGCTTTGAATCCGAGCATACCCAAAGAGAAAAAAAACCGGATTCTCGACCTCCTATTACGAAGCCTCCATCTGGGAGAGGGAGGCCTCAAGAACTTAATCGACCAGAAAGAGTTGGATGAACCTGTATGTCCACTACCTAAACACATGGGAGATCAACGAAGAGATCATCAACCATAGGAGATTCAAACTCAGAGCCGCTCAGTACCTATTAGTTGAGGGAAAACTCTTCAAAAAACCAAGCATATCCTTGTACTTAAAGTGCGTTGGAGAAGACGAGTTTGAAGGCATACTCCAGAAAGTTCATGACGGGAAGTGCTTAAGTCATTCTGGAGGAAAGACGTTAGCTCACCAAATCCAACGGTGTGGGTACTTCTAGCCAAACCTACTCAACTATGTTGGTTGAGTACAACCTACTCGAAGTTGTACGCAGTGTCATAAGCACAGACCATTACACCATCAACTGGCCCGAAAACTTCACCCGATCTTCATCCCTTGGACGTCAGCTATGTGTGGCCTCGACATCCTTGGATTCTTTCCCTTGTCCATAGGACAATGAAAGTTCTTACTGGTGGTTGTCGAATACTTCTCCATATGAATAGAAGTGAATCCCCTGGCCCACAAAACGGCGGAGGTGGCCAAAACTTCATCCATACTAACATGATTTGCTAGTATGAATTATCCCTCATCATCGTTACAGATAATGGGACCAAATTCGCGGATAAAAAGTCTAGGATTTCTGCAAGAGATAGGAGATCAACCTCAAATTTGCCTCCGTGCATTATCCCGGAACTAATGGATAGGTGGAGGCCAAGAACAAGGTCATTTTAAATTTGTTAGGGAAACAGGTAGAGGGAGCAAAGGACAAGTGGGCATACTTGATCCCTTCCGTATCCGTACTTTGGGTGATTCGATCGACACCATCCTCGTCCACCGGTCAAACCCCTTTTATGTTGTCTCACGGAATGGAAGCCATGTTGTTGGTTGAGTACAACAAATATAGCCAGAGAGTGCTCTCTGCCCCAACCTTCAACAATAAGACCTCGAATAA